CGGCTATGTGGGCAGGACAACTGCGTCATTGTAGCATTTGATTGATTGCCCTAAGGCCTAACATGGCGCCAGATATGTATAGTTATAGCTACATGATGCCCCTCGAGCAACCATGGCGTATGCGTAATGTGATACAGAACAAATATGCTGAGCCCGTGACCGCCATTGCTTTCCGGCAAACAGCTGTCTGTTCACCATTTCCTCCTAGCGGCCGGACTGCCAGCCAATTAATTTGCATCCTTTTACAGCAGTTCGCTTTCAGGTGCAGCAAGGCGGCGACAGTTTTCTGCTCTTGTATGTTTTAATCTTTTATTATACTAAATATATGCGAAAGACAAGAAATATACACTTAATGTGTATAAACATTCAAATTGTGTAACATAAGAAAAAAAGAATTGTTTAAGCTTCATAAATTTGTTATTCTTTAAAGATATTATCTATGCATCTATTCACTCAACCTCAACTTTTTTCGTGTTAAATATTTCTTCAAATATACAGTCGAGCTGCCATTCGTGGACTATATTTATTCGAAAACAATTAGCCGTAGATCTCTAGACATATAATTACAACTATCTGTATAGGATATACAAGCGTCGTGGCGCCAGTGAGCAGGTTTCTTTCATATTGCGAGCTGTTTTAAGTGACTTTTTCGCAGCAATTTTTGTGCATTCTAACGAGTGGCATTTTTATCATTTTGTTTACGCCCTTCGCCTTTGTTTTTAGGGTCGCTCTAGATGCTGCTGCTAATGAGCGTTTTTGACTCAAGTGTGTGTGAAGGCCAAAAGGGCTGCTTCTCGCGACTTGGTGGGACCGTCCATTAGGCTAATGGCAACTGACAAGTTTTACAAATTAGAATCACATGCGCATAGTACATGCGGTATTCTGATATTTAAGTTTATCGTTTTATTTTCACTAGTACTCTTCTAGTTTGAGTCGTAAACCGCACTTCGAGTCGAGTCGGTTCGATTCTAGGCGCGCCGCAGTGCACTATACAAATCGTTCAACACTTGGCAGCACTTAAACGCGGATAACCACATGATAAAATTAGACGATTAGCCACTGGCACGACCACAAGCACTCACACACACACACATACACCCGACACCCAACACCCATATCTCGCAACACACACACACACACGCTCTCGCATATATGTTCATATACTCAAAAGCAGACCGTGGCCAGACTAAATAAACAGCACAGCTGGCGAGACATTAAAGTTGTTATTGCTGCTTTCCCCTTTGCCACATGCCCCACGCTCGAAGCATGCCCCAAGCCTGGCGAAATAATCTATAAAAAATTGCGCTGTTGAGTTTTTCTCTGTGCGCTGTTCTTGAAAATCACTAATAAAAAATCGTTTGAAATTTGTTGAACATAACATAACCGAAAGGCATAAAGTGATAAGCCAATAATTACCTAACAGCTTGGGCCAACCGAACCGTAAACAAATATAAAGAGGGGGAATTTTCTGCTCGCTGATAATCTTTAGGTTAAAGAAAACTTTCAAATATCTTAGCATTTTGTTTTCTAGAACAAGATTTTTACAAGTATTCAACAATCTTGTGCTCTCTCAATTTTATATTTTGATTTGTATCTTATGGATACATTTAGAAGATTTAATATATGAGCATGGATAACCCTTAGAACTCAAATGCCAAGCAGTTTATAGATTCATTTGCATATCTTAGTTTTTAGCTAGAACTCCTAGTAGCTATAACTAGAGCAGGGCAACCGCAGAGTAAAGTGCGTCGCGTTACTTTGTTGAGCAAGCGGAATTTTTATAGTTTTCTTTTCTATGCCATTTCCATCAACTTGCTTGTGAGCAGAAGAGTTGCACAAAACAAAAAATATTCTGCTAAAGAAATCCTTTTTCAAGTCATTCATGAAGTGAAAACTATTTTAGGTGTGCAGCAATGTTCATCTTGCTGCTCGTGCGTATATCTATATGAATTCAAAGTATTTCGCCGCTATTAAATCTAGAATCTAGAACTCGCACTCGTGTGAACAATGCGCAAATAAAAAATATATTATATATCTACGCCTACAACTTGTGCTAAATTAAACAAATCATATTCCATACTCAGTTGTAGAGAGAGGAAGAGATCACGAGATTACTAATATATAAAAATATGAGCGTACTTTGATAACTTGATTATTCTCCAAAATAAAAAAATTTCTTTTGTAATAAAATAATTTAAAATATTTGTCACTTCCCTAGTTAAATTTAATTTTTAAAAAATTGACTACATTTTTCTTGCATATTTCCTGTGAAACATAAAACATTGGGGCGATTTCAGAAAATATTCGTTGCATTTATTTCTTTTGCGAACTGTCAACGAGGTCCGTTTTATGGTACAATTTATAGCTGCGCATTACATTTTTCTGGGTCTGGGGCTGGCGCTGGGCAAGTTGAATCACATTGTTTTAGGTTTACTGCAACCGCAGAGCAGCAGCTAAGCCAGCTAAACCTATCCACACGACTTTATGCACTGAACACGATAAAAGTTGTGCGCTCTATGAGAATTCAATTCAAGCATTGAAAATTCAGCTGGGTTAAATCTACGGAAGGGGCAGGGCGGAAGCAGCGTGTAAATATTCCCACAATTCTAACGAAATTTTAATTGTTTACTTTGGCACACAGCTAGTGATGTATCGATGATGATGTCGAGAAGCGAAATTAGTTCGATTTTAATTCAAGAAGTGTAATAAAAAAAGGCATTTACTATGAGCTTAATATTGAGCAGAAAACGTATACAGAGAGCAGCAGCCAGGCCAGAGACAGGGCTCTCCTGTTAGAGGGAATCAAACAGAATGAAATGCTTATAAATTACAATGCAAACAACACGACAAGTTGAAATTGCAAACTTGCTTATCGCTTGAATAGACAGCGGAAGGAGGAGGAAAAGCAGAAGCAACTGTTAGGTTAACCGTGAAACCTCACAGATGTGCTCGAACTCCGGCTTCACACTGGTTCCAGCTGCGATTTGATAAATTTGAAAACTGTCAGTTGTCTGATAAAATGTTACTTTTCGGGGCTGTTCTCTTTGGCAAGTTGATGTTCTCGGCCACGCGTAACTTGGCCCTTGGCACCGTGCGGCAGCAGAAATTAAATTACATTCTGCACACAGTTGTGATTTTCATTAATTTAGTGTAAATATAACACATATACCAGGCTATGTATACAAAAAAAGTTCCAAATCAAATAACTTTTTGTGCCAACTTTTATGCCGGAAACCACAAACAAAAATCGATTCGAAAAAGAAAGCACTAAAAGTTTGTTTCAGCTGCTGCTCCTACGCTCTTGCCCTAATACCTTAAATGTTATTATAGCAGAGTGTATAAAACGACAGATCTATGGAGTATATCATACCATAGCTGCTAGAATATTTAAACTCTCTTAAATCTTTCCATATCTTTGCATATTTTAAAGCGAATATTTTTCTTTAAATAGTTTACAGGGTATCGGATTGCTGGTGCTCTTTTCTACAAACGTGTCTCCTTAATTCGTTTTCCGTTTTGTATTCACTTTTGTCACGGATGCTCATTTCGGCATTACGTATACGAAGCGTGAGACGCTTGCTATGAACTTTTGTCGTAATGTTTTGACTGACGGCCAACAGCAAAACTGCCAAAGATTCTGCGAAAAAAGTGCTTAGGGAGCGAAGAGAAAAGAGATTTAGCTGCTGGCAACAGCGCCTGGCTGCAGTCAGCTAAAGTAAAGTAAGCATAAAATGCTCTTGCATCATCCGGGCTTCAGTTAGCTAGGCTGCCGTCAAGCCGGAACTAGCTTCCTCCATCAGCTAAACAATGTTGTTCCTGTCGCCTTTGTCTACAATATTTGCATGCACTGTTACCGATGCGACCATAAAAACAAGACCTTGAAAGTGGCAGAAGCGAACAACAGACAAAGTAGAAGTAAGTGTCGCTGGGCATACTTTCGCACGACAATATAAACGTGCTCTGAGACCAATACTTATCGCATGCAGCAGAACGGAATGTCTAAATGTTAATTTCAAACTTTTAGCTGCTTCCATAGACCGCAAATTAAAAAAGCTGCAACAACTTAGTTAATGGCAGTCGAATTACATTGTATGACACTCATTATGGCTCTAGCTCTATGCATTATTCAGTGCTCTCTGCTTGGCAGCGCGACAGCTGTCGACTACTTAATGTGCTCTGAATATGAATAGTTTGCGGTTTCAGCTGCTCGAAAAACGGAAGGATACTACAGTAATCGCTATTAAGTTGTACCTAGTAATTTGCTTTTCAATTGAAATACACTAAGACGGAACTCAGCTACTAAATACTAACTTCTAATAAAAGAATATTTTTTAATTTAAAAATAAAGTTCAGTTCTTCAAGTAGCATATTCATGTTAAAGAATCTTAAAGATAGAAATTACAGTTGCAATATCGTTTGAGTAATCTAAAGAGATAATTCCATTCTGGCTTAAGACTGAGATTCAATGTCCTACAATAAAGTGTAGTCTAGTTAGTTACTTAAACCAGTTTGCCTTAGTAAATAACTGAATGCAGTAGCTGAAATACATAGAATGTCTCGAGAGTATCTCTGACTAGAGGAGTTCGATTTTTGTAATATTATTATATAATAATATTTATGCAATCTAATAATATTAAGTAATTTTTCATATTTTTCCATTAACGCTAAATTAAAATGCACTAAAAATGTTTAAAACTTATCAGCTTGAAGACAATTTTAATATAATTTTAATTATTCTTATTTATCAAAGTGTATTTTGTATTCGTATATTTTTACCCGATTTACTTAAGTGTGACCTCAATAATCGCTCAGAGTTCGCTCCTAATAAAAAATATCCGATTGGCTGTTTGAATTTGCATACTAACTTGGCTCAGCTGCACGTTTAATGGCTGTCATTAGAGAAATTAATGAAAACGCATGGAAAGCATTTAAAAGTCACTTAGTGCGAAGTCCATAAAAGCTGTCATGCAGACGACTTATTCTGCTGAACGTCTCCCAACATGGTCATTGACAGTACGCGCGCCTATCGTCCGTTGTGGCGCTGCTTTCGACTGCTGGCACCGACGTTCTTTGGCGCCAGGTCACGTGCGGTTTATGTCTATATGGTGTTAATGCATTTGCTGATTACAGTGCTTTTCCCGATTCATCTGCTGCTGGGGCTGCTGCTGCCGACGACGACGCCGGTCCAGCTCTTCCAGAATTTAACAATGAGCATCGTCTGCTTGTCGTGCAGCTTGAAGCATGTCATGCAAATCTGGCAACTTCCACACATGTTGGAGATTGAGACAGCTCTCAGGCAGCTGGATGATTGTGTGCAGAGCGAAGAAGAACATCATTACTATCAGAATACGCTACAGAGACGAGTGAGCCGATTTACCCGCTGCATTTATGCAACTTATACCTTTGTCTACGTGCTCAATGTTCCTATTGCAATCCTGACTCTACTGGCTGAGCCCCGCGAATTACTTTACGAGGCCTGGTTGCCATTCGACTGGCGACGTGGTGGCCTGCACTACTACTTGGCCTTTGGCTACCAGTACCTGAGCATGGTGGCAGAGTGTTGTCAGGGCCTGACAAACGACATTTATACCCCGCTCACATTGTGCAATGTTAGCGCTCACATACATCTCTTTGGCATACGTATGTCACGTCTGGGATATAGCAAAACACCCGAAGGTCAAACAAATCAGCAACTACGTTTATATTTCGAGGACTTCAAGCTGCTGATGAGGTGAGTCGTCTGCCAAGTCGTATACTTCAAAGCTTAGGCTTCAAGCTAATGGAATAGCTGTCCTCATAAGCAATCAGTCAATCAATTAGGATAAGAAGTTTTGCATACACATATTTTACACTAATCAAATAGACTAGTGAAAGTCTGACTCCGCGACACCCGAAACCTTGCGCAGAACTTCTTTTCAATCACTCAAACTTGACAACTTGGCTGGACAGACAGACTTGACTAGACTCAATCCATCGGCCTGGCCAACAATATTTATACTTTATGATATCTGCCAAAAAACATAGATTGAGATTAAGAAGCACAAATGCTTTTTACACCATTTTCTATTTTCTATTTTCTATTTTCTGTTTTCACTAATTGTTATTTTTTTCAGAGTTTACCAACTTACCCGAGAGGTTATCAGTCCCATACAACTCATACAAATAGTGTTCTGTGGCGTGAGCATGTGCATCATTGTCTCTTATATGATTTTCTATGTGCGGGACGCAACCTCCTTTTTCTACCATATCGTGCTCTTGGCCGTTGTCTGTTTGCAGCTCTTTCCCAGCTGCTACTTTGCCAGCGTTGTGGCCGAGGAAACGGATCAGCTGCCCTATGCTGTTTTCTCAGGCAATTGGTATGAGCAGTCGAGGGGGTACCGACGCAACGTGGTCATCTTTACCCAATTAACTTTGAGACTGGCTAACCGACCCATGATGGCTGGAGGATTGATAACACTTAATTTGAATACCTTCTTTGCTACGCTCAAAATGGCCTATTCGCTGTTCGCGGTCATTGCTCGTGTAAAGATTAATTAAAGTCTTCAATTGTGTTTACCTCGAGCGGTCTTGCCTCTGTGGCTGTTATTGATCTCTACGGCTGGCTGGCATAAATATTTTCACGATTTTATTTTCATATTTTCCACACGATTCCCACACCAAAGAAGCAATTGTAACAAATGAAATTCACTAATTGCCTCGTCCCAATGCGCAAATAAACAGTTGCTGTGCTTTCAATTGTTTTCTTTCAATTTGTTCTGTTTCGTTTTAACAATTTACTCTCGAACATTAAAGCAGATGAAATGTTTACGTAAGAGCAATGCTAATTGTATTTCGTGTTATTTTCATTTTTTTATTTTCTTTATAGTCTGAAGTATCGAGAAAACCGATAAACGGGGTATAACATGGCTGGGCAAATTTATGTAGCCGGCAAAAAAGAAAAACTATGATCAATTATGGAATTATTGATAAACTCAATTTCATATTAATTACTTAATTTCTATATTTAAGTAAGCATTAAGGTCTACAGGGTATTCCTTGCTCCATCAACCCACTGCAGCTCTTACCTTTTGCACCTGTTCAGCACTCGCTTGCAGTGAATACAAAGTAATTGTAAGGCGTAGCCATAGCAATTCAGATCGTTTCACGCCTTATAGCTTTGCAGATCAATGATTCCCAATTGCTGATTAATATACTACAAGCAAGTTTATAGTTTATATTACATCAAACTTATTTAACTGCAGTGCTATAAAAGTGCAAAGTCAACTCATAAACAATTCGTCAAGGGGATTAGCAAGAGGAATGTTTTAGCTGAACATCAGAGTGACAGAGTAACAATTAATGTATATATACATATATATAAATATATATATATATAAATATATATATATAAATATAAATATATATAAATATATATATATATATTTATATATATTTATATTTATTTATTTACTCTGCTTTTCGTCCTGATTAAGAACGAATATACTTTATGTGGTCTGCCACGCCTCCTTCTGCCTGCTTTCCCATTTTGAATGAGTTCAGGGTATAAAAATAATAATATTCTTACATACGTATCACATATCTAAGCTTACCTAGTTTAGACGGCAACTTGACGTTGGGTGCTGGGTATCTGCTATCATATCACTCCCGAGTAATTATTACCTTTTGAATTTTCATGATTTATTGCAATTGCATCCCGAACGGATGCTATATATATAAACTGCAGCCAAACATTGGGTCACAGGATGCAAAATTTGTCTGTTCGCAATGCGAAAATTGCAATTTGTATGCCTGAACGCTTCTTGTGCATGTAATGAACAGAAATAGCGAGTGTAAAATGAAAGCTGTCAAAAAACCAAGAAAACATTCCGAATCGAGATTGAAATGAGAAAAATAAATGCAAGCTTTAAAATATATATTTTACTTATTTATAGGCGCAGTTGGGTACTCCTAAATGGAAAACGGAGTGAAAGAACGAAATAGCAAAAGCACAGAAATGGAAATGGAAATGGAAATGGAAACTGTGACTAGCTTTGACTCTAACCAAAGAGCCGTGCTCAGCAACTGGCTTTTGGTAGCATTAAACGCGAATATTGCGTATACGCGCTGTGGCGAGGTGGCGGGGTGGAAAGTGCAAAAACGTACAATGCCTGCCACGTTCAACATAGGCGCGATGCTCGAGGTGATTTAACTTTTCTGCTTGCCATTCATTTATTTCCTTTTCAATGGCACAAAGCACACAGAAGGCAAAAATATTGTTGGCATACTTTTGCAAGTGCTTCCTGTCGCATATCCTGTCGGTCTCTGTGTGTGTGTGTTTTTGTTTGCCTGTGTATTTATTTTAACTTTTGGTATTTTGTACGCGAGCCGTAGAGATTTCATAACAAAATAGCAAACTAAAACAAAAACGCCAAAGCACACAGAAATATGAAAAATAAATTGAAACAGCCAACCGGAATTGTCTATGCCAACTATCCCAATCTCGGTTCGTGTCTGTCAAAAATGAACGCAGGCCAACTCAATCAGCGCAGGACGAATTCGTGACACCAGTGAACCGCCAGCGATAGCCAAACATTTGCCAGCTAGCCACAGATTGAATTGCTTTCACTTTGCTCCCAAATTGTTTGCGAAATTGTAAAACGTTTTCGACCCCAAAGGGCCATCAGGGCGACCACGCAATAGCCTGGTCAAAACTCTCTCATCCCGCCAACACTTCTATGTTTGACACACATTTATATTATGAACATTGCTGCATATAAGTATATATCGCACAAACAACCTGGGGACTCACTAGAACAAAAATGAGTTCAAATCTGAGCTTGATGCTGTGTATATAAGGCAGAGTCATTAAGGCTAATAAATAAATTCTAAAGCAAAAATGTATTATATTTGTTTAATAAAGAAAAACGGATTACCTAATATAACTTTTGCAATTTAACAAATTATTTATTCAATTTATTAGTTTTCTGCTTAACAATATATTTGATATAATTTGTTTACTACTTTTCAAAGTAAAATTATTGAAATTAACGTAGAATTTACTGCTGTCTATATTATATCCTTTACAGTCCTAGAGCTATGCTTGCAATGGATTAATTTATAAATGATAAACTAACCCATTGGGATCTGATATTTTTCTGTTTTTTGACTGTGAACAAAAGTTTTAATGTGTTGGACAAAGAAATTGAAAGTTGTTCGCTTACCACAATTTGATTAAATTGTTATGCTAAATTAACAAAGGTAAACTAAATACGATCAAATATACTTAGTTATATTTAAAAAAAAATTTTAACTCACATATTTTTAATTTTAATATTAATTGCCTGAAGTAAAAGTTTGTAAAACGTTCTCATAAAAGCTCTGCGAGGCACAATATCTTTTTGTTTATTAATTTATTTGGCTGCACTTGCACTGCAAATATTTGTATGCAGTATTAAAAGTGAAAAGCGTAATTGTGATTAATTATTCATGAAGCGATTTAAGCAGCACGTTAATTAAACAGAAATATCAGAAATATTAATACTCGTGTGTCCAGCCCTTATCACAACAGGCGAAAATGATGACTTTTTCACACATCAGCTAATTGTAATTGATGACTTAATGAATATTAATACTGAATGACTAATTGGTAGCTGGCGAGCGGCGAACGGCGAACGGCAATTGTTCCAGATTGCTAAAAAATTAGTTTAACCATTTTTAATTAACGCTGTGGCGCACTAAACTGAAAATAGCTGTAAGGTTTCGCATTTTATGCGCTCCCAAATTCAGTGCATGTCGTTCAATCCATTCAGAACTCAATTACGTCGCGGTGGGGCACTCAATTTTCCACAGCGAGAGAAACGAAATGTAACGAAACGAAAAGGGAAAAGCGCGCATCAAGCTGAAATCGAGGGACGAGCAGGCACTGTCCAACAATAACAACCCATGCTGGTGTCCTATCCTGCTCTTGGCTCTATGTCATGTTTGGGCATGGCACTGGTGCCTAAAAGTATGCACCGGCTAAAATAACAAGCGCACACACAGAGCGCCTCGCTGGGACACAATGCCTCTTCTTGTATTTCGGTCATGCATGAAATTTTTTACTTTCCAGCCAGTTGGCCACTTGCTCGTTGCTCTCCCATGTATTCATTTGTTGTCGCTTTTTTCTATCTATATTCTATACCCATTCAAAATGGTTGCAGGGTGAGAGCAGTCGCAAAGGCTATGCAAATGATCGAAACACTGCAAGCTATTGGAGTTTACAATTTTAAAAGGAATAAATATTCCATTTGACATTTGAAATATATTTGTGTTAAGCGAGGCCAGTAATAATAATACAGGATATTTCCTGGTCGAGCACACTTGACTCTAGAGTCTGGCTTGTTTTTCTTTCTTATTTGAGTGAAGTTTCCTTTTTGTTTTTGGTTTCGTTTTTCAGCGCATGCTGCTGCCGTTTTTATATTCCACGCATTGCTAGTACAGATGTTGACATTGTTGTTGTTGCTGCTGCTGTTGTTGTTGTTGTTGATGCTACAGCTGCTAAAGCTTTCAGGCATTCAGTGTCGCACCTAAATCATATTGACTGCGCACTGCCCATGCAGAAAACCGTAGACCGCAGCAATAGAGAGGCTTACCAATGTGCTTTATAATCCAAGTGGAGCCTCTCAAAATTGGATGGTTAATTAAGATTGTTAGCCACAGACTGCAGTTGCAGTGTGTGATAACTTTTGTGATGCTAGTTGACAGTATAGGAGAGTGTATAAATTCAGCATTCATAGAAGAACGAGCGAAGTCACATTTAAACTTGAGTTTATAATACTTATAAAGAGCATATGTAGCTTATAGAATCAAGCATATATTTTACTATGCTCCACAAACAGAGGCTTAGTTAACGCTGCAGCTCCGACTTAGTCAAAGTATTAAACATTTCATTACACCTTATTTTGCATTGATAGTTCCTTAAGTTATATATCTTATTTTTGGTTCTGACTTTTGTCTTGAGTTCCATATCCCTAGACAAATTAGTTAAGATAATTATTTTAATGGTTTTATGCTTCGTTGCAGCCGCATTAAGCTGCAAGTTTGTTGCAGCTGCAGCTTAAAGCCTATCGAATTACATTTTGCCTTTGCTCATTGTCTCTTTTTCAGTCTCTGTCGTAGCCCATTTGCAATTGAAGCGGCTGCTGCTGCTGGAAGTTGGCAAAGTTTTGTAATTTGTAATTTGTTCGGGCAGCAGCAGCAGCAACAGAGTTGGCCTATTTCAGCTTCTCTCCTGGCCAATTTGCTATTTCTGCACGCATTTCGTTTCTATTTTGATAAGCCATTCGGCTGCACACATTTTGTGGGCCGTTTGGGTGACAGCTTTTGACCAACTGGCCCAAAAGTGAATGCTGTGTTGCAGCTTTGTAGCTCAGGCAGGCGTATCACCGACTGGCAAGGTCATTTGTAACCTTAACTAAACAAATTTGAAAGCCTCTACGCGTATCAAGTGTGGGCTGGTTCTTGCAAAGGGCCAGCTTATTCTGCCGCATGTATAAAACGGGCAATTGCTGCCAGGTATGGCATCAGTAGCCCACGTGCCACAGCAAGCAAGCGAGTAGCAGCTTCTACCAACTACACACGACAACCACAAGCAAAAAGCCAGCCAACTAGTCCTACACTAATCACGTCACCAAACATGAAACGGGTAAGTTATAGAAACGGGGCTCGGCCATAAATTTTGGGCCAGTCGATTGCCTGCGGTGCTTTGGAAAACGCATTTCAGCACTGACAGGCCATAAATCAGGATAAGCCAAAATTCAAAAGGATAAAACTCTCAAACATATTACGAATTTTGTATAGGCATCGTGAATGACATTGAGTGCTTTATGCCTTGTACATCGCAGCACAGATTCACTTAACATGACGGCTGACAAGCCATTCGGCTTTTGTAAACAACTTTTTATTGCCTGCGACTATAGGCAATCTACAAGCAATGCTAGGCAGTAAAATTAGCAGCCAAACACATGAGTAGAGCATTTCGCAGTCGTCAATAGTATTTGAGAATAAAACAGGGCATAAAAACGAAGACATTTCAAGCCAATTTGAAGAGGACTTCCTAAATAGTTATAGATTTACGATGGCAGCGTTTAGAAATGATAACAAATCCATGATGCCATTAGGCTCTGGCCATGTATATTTATTAGCTTGTCATGTTTTGCCTCTCCGTGCAGAGCTGCCTGTTGATTTGCGTTTGCCTGCTGACCTGCCATGTGGCTAATGCATCCTTTCTGCGACCGATCGAGCTCAGCCAGTTAGCCAAGTCATCGAGTCTCCAGCAGCAGCAGCAGCAGCAGCAGCTGCGGGATCTGGACAATGATGACACCAATTTGGATGAGCCGACGACAATTTTGCCCAACTCCAGTGAGGATTACGACAGCCGTCCACAGTATACCTTCGCCTACGATGTGCGCGACACGCTGACCGGCGATGAGAAGCGACAGGAGGAGAAGCGCGATGGCGATTTGGTAAAGGGTCAATACTCGCTCGTCGAACCCGACGGCACGCGACGTATTGTGGACTATACGGCGGATGATGCCAGCGGTTTCAATGCAATCGTGTCAAAGCAGCGCCTTGACGAGCGACTGAGCACGGCACAAGCATCAGCCTCCTCTGCCTCGTCCTCCTCCTCTCGCTACAATAGCATCGAAGAGCTGCAGTCACGCCTGACAGCCCAGGCCATTGCCGAAGCGCAGGCGCTAGCCGACGCTCAGCAACAATCGCAACTGCAACTAGAAGCACAGGCACGACTTGAAGCTGAGAGCCAAGCGCGTCTGCAGTCTAAGCAGCTCATGGAGCAATTCCAGCAACAAGTGCAGCAAACCGCTCAGCTGCGCCAACAGCAGGAGCAACAGCGTCAGCAGCAGGAGCAGCAGCTGCGCGAGTTGCAGCGTCTGCAGGAGCAAAGGGATCGTGAGCAGCGGGAGCGTGAGCAGCGGGAGCGTGAGCTGAGAGATCGTGAGCAGCGGGAGCGTGAGCTGAGAGATCGCGAGCAGAGGGAACGTGAGCAGCGCGAGCAGGAGCGTCGTCAGCAACAGGAACGTCGTCTGAACCAGAATCAAAACCAAAATCAGAATCGTCTGCTGGAGCGTCTCAATGGCCAGCAGCAGAATTTGCTGTTGTCCAACTCCAATCAGCTGCTGGGTCAGAGTGTCCAGGCCAGCGTTGTCTCGCATCCCCCCACGTTGATCTCTCGCTTGCCGTCGCTAAGCTCCGGCAACCTTCTGCTGACTGGGGAGCGTGAGCGCGATTTGGATGCCTGGCGCCAGCTGCCCAGCTCACGTCTAAACATCGAGCGCAACGCACAGTCCGTGATCTTGTCGCAGCCATCCAGTGCCTCGGTGCAGGCTCAACTCATTGGCTCACCTTTGCTGCTCAATTCGGCCAATCTAAATGGCTTGATTACCACGCGCCTCAATGGCAATGCGGCACGCGCCGGCGCTGCCATCAGCTGGTCTCAGGGACGTCGCATTGACAACGAGCTGTGGCAACAACTGGATCGACTCGACGAGAACGACATTCGCCGAGCCGACGACCAGCGCCTCGAGACCGAAGAGCTGCGCTCCATCAGCAGCAACCGCCGCGCCAAGTGGTAAACACCTTGCCCGACCACAGGCCAAACTTCAACTGAACTCAACGCTTAAAGGACCTCAACGATCAACTGCAACGGAACTCGATTATGCTTAGAACTTAACCTTATGTGTAACTTGTGTTATGTTAGTCTTACGTGGGATATGGTTACTTTCCTATTTACTCAATTTCCTTAACAGCAAACTTTGCCAGAAACTAACCCAATCAAGCTCAAGTTTTCTGCATATCTCCAACTAACTCTAGCCATAAGCCTAATTGTTTTGTACAACTTTTGTAGTTAACTGCATTGTCAAACTTACTAAAAAAAGGAAAAATAGTTAATAAAAATAGCCAACGCACAGTGTGTGAAGAAACGGACTAAGCTGTGACTTTATTGAGTTCAAGGTGCAACGACAACAGGTCGTCCATGATATCCTTGGCCAGTTGACCGCTTGCTCCTCTCCTGGACTCCGACACGGCTGCCCATAAACCTTGAACAACATTCCTAAAGCCCAGCAAGTGCCAACAATTTTTTAATAACAACATAGCAAGCTTAGTTATACGACGAACAAGTGTGCAGCAAAAGTTGATCTATCTTCCAGCCATGAAGTTTACGCTAGACACTTACAAAATAAACTCACACACACAGAGGTTGGGACGGTGGGCGAAGAGAACTTGTTAATGGCATTTTATAAAAACAATAAAAAAACAACTTTGTAGTGAATTAGTAAGCTTCAAAATTGTTTAAAACACACACAAAATATACTTGCAGCATAAAACGTGGCTATGATAGAGCACAAAGTAACAATATTGACACAGGTAAAAATAAAAAAATATTTTTCGTTCATAAATTTAAATATTATAATAAAATTCCATTCATTTTTCTAGCCAACTTAATTTAACTCTTTTTAAACTTATAAAAAAGTCATTTTAATTGTACTTCAGCTGCAGCTAAAACATTGAGAGATTGCGATAACTTGCTACGGCTTGGCAGGCCACATAAAGACTTTAAGGTAAAGTAATATTTATTAAAAGTTTAGCTTAACTATTTAAAAAGTCGCCCAAAGGCAGCCGATCTTTGGCTGCCAGCTGTCGGCCAGAAGGCGGCTTGATAAAAATCACTTAAAAGTTCATCAGGAGGCGAGCTGCAGCTGCTTGTCGGCAGCTCGCTTGGCTGACAGCTCACGGAAACTAAACAAAACGATTCTTTTCAGTTAGCTGCAAGTGTCATTGCCACATTCAGCAGATTGTAAAGCCAAAGCCAACTGCTCGGACTACTCTTGACTTTGTCTTTGCCTCTACACTGCTTAGCTGCCCTCTCAAATATCTGCAAATTGCATCTGAATGCTGACATCACAGCTTAGAGCAAGAAATGTGCTTTGTCCTGGAGTGATCTGGGGAAGGATTGCCACTACCCAAGTCTCCCAGTTGCTAAGAGCCCAATATATATTCCAGCTTAAGTGAAAGTTGCCTTGCATTGAAGATTATACAATGTATTAAGCCCAAATATACATATATCATATGGAAATATAACTATTATCTATTAGAATAAGAATGAGAGTAGAATGAAGAGAAATGGTTTAACGAGTCGAAAATTACAATTTATTTATCTAATTGAAAGCATTATGCTCAAGCAATTCAGCTATTGCAGCTTCTTTTAGTTTTTAAATTAAGGAAAAAAATACAGAAAGTTAAAGTGATATAAATAACAATAAATGTTCTATGATTTGCAAACAGTAAGGGTAAACATTTTTACTGAGCGCAGAATGCGCCATCTATTGAAAATTTTCATTTACTTGCTCTCCTAACCGTCTATTATATACTCACCAATTAACACTCTAGCGCAGACACGCACACAAAATGGTTCATTTACTCGAAATGGTAACAGTTAGCAAAGCCACACACCCTTCAATTTAAGTCTGTGCACAACTCAAACATGTTAAGCGGCAACTTGTTCGACTGTTCAATTAAGTTCTTAAATTTATGGAAAAAATATTAAAATCAATAAAAGAACACTGTACATATGTTTCTCAAACTATACTATGTCCTATGTTTAATTCTACCGCTTCTTTAGCTATAACCTCTGTACTAATATAAATAATTTTATCATATTATGCTTAGTTTTATTAATCAGTACATCAAAGGTGACTTTGCCCAATATTTCTATGTGCCTATTTATATATTTCAATTCTTTAAGTAGATTTTTAATTTTGTAAGCGAAAAGATGCTTAGATTTTTGATAGCACCACGTTCACTACGTTTTCTAAGCAGCAAATCTTCGAGGAATAAAATTGATCAGAACAACAAACTAAGCAATAAGCCCTCAAATACTCCACGCCCGCCAAAAGATCCGCCCGATGAAGGCTATGAGCCGGGTAAGGTTGAACATGATATGATCGAAATACCGGAGTTCATAAAGGCAAAAGCCTACCGGCAATTCAGTGGACCTAACGAGATTCTTGGTCCTGGAGCGGGCCTCAACCAGGTGTACAAGAATGGCTTTTACTTCGGCTACCATCGTTTCAGCTTTGTGGAGCTGCAGAATCAGGCGTTGAAGTTGCGAGACGAGCGTCGTGAAAACTGCGGTGTTCAAGCGTCAACGGAGGACAATATTGAGGATGAAGAGCGTGACGATTGCCTGGACTCGATACAGCAACAGGAGGTCGAATGCGATAAACAGCTTGCCGCTCAGGCAAAGGAGAAGAAAAAGACTGAAGAGAAGAATGTGAATAATGGGAACGAGTTGGCAAATATATGCGAAATATTCAATCAGAAATCAAAAGTAGGAAAGTCACTTGAATCGCACATCGCAAAACTCTTGTCCTTTTGTGAACTTAAGCAGACGGACAATTCCTACAAGGCATTCGACTGCCAAGAAATGGTCAAAGAAGCTGTGCAGAAGGCTGAGCAAAATGCGATCGCAAAACACTTGAATCAAATAAATGAGTCAAAGAAAGCGGATGCCAAAGAACGTGAAACGATCACAGATAAAGAAACTGACAAAGATTCGGCAGAATGTGAAAAAGATAAAGGCGATAAAAATTCATAAATAAGTCCATCTACCCGAGAAGAGAACCAAAAATATACCAAAGACACACAGCGCTACAGTAGCAGGCTGGGTGGGAGTCTTTGCTATACTGGTACAGCGACGTCACAAACCCTTAGCTTAGACATAAATGCAACTGTTCTCAAACTGTGATACACAAATAAATTGTGGCTATTTGGCCCTTGACTTCATGGCTCTTCTGCTCTTCAAAATTTGACTTGTTAATAAATAGTAGAATTTTTGCATTCAATCAATTGATATGCCATAACGGAAACAAGCAAACGGGGTTGCTGCACAATTTCAGGGACAAGCGAAGCGAACAAATCGAAAGCATTGCCCCACTACACGAGCTGTCTCTGTGGACCTACATATGTATGTGTATGAATTCAGGTATGTAGTCAGGTATGAGCACTCTCAGCTCGTCATCTGCTCGGTCATTCATTTCGCATGCAATGCCTTTTTGAATTGTGTTGCTGAATTGATCTCTATGAACCGATAGCGAGAGTCATCACGTGTTTTTAGCTTGCTAATTAGTTGGAAATCCCCCAAAGTGGAAAGTCAAAGAGAGAGAGAGAGAGAGAGAGGAGATAAGAAAAAAGAGAGAGGGCAAAAGAGCTATCAAGTGAACATTAAATTAATTGTATGACTTTTTCTGATTATTTATTATTTAGTTTGATTTGCCTTTCATATTTTATTGGTAACAAATTCCCTAAGTGTTATTTGAGTAGAGCTGTAACAAAATGAACTTATTAGAATGGAAATTGTGAAATGTTTATGTAGACTAAGTCAAATGTTTATATGAGCTTTTTGCCATATCTAAAGTCTAACGCTAAAAATGTTATATATTTCTGTATAGCAGCTCCACTGGGCGTATGTAAACGGAATAAAGCTATATCTTCCAAAGCGCACATTAGATCAATTGACTAGTATTAACACAAGGGAAAACAAATAACTTTTGAAGCGACAAACCAAAAAATGTTTTTTTATTAACTTCAATCAGTTTTTATTGAAATTACAAAATAAATTTGAATAAATCAAACATTTCTCAGTTCTGAGACTTACTCCCTTTTTATCATCTTATTTCTGATATACCCTACGGCATGCCTCGTGGGCTAAAGAGTTAGCAAAAGTGCACTAAACCAAATAGAAGCGACCAGTTGGCTAATACGACACGCCTCGTTTTGAAGGCATTTAAGCTGAAAATTGCTTCTAAAATATTTGCATAGTTCCGTCCACAGTCGCAGTTGAAGTTGGTCTCTGCCAATACAGATCTTAGCCAGCTGCATTGATGCGTCTAAAAAGTTAACTCCAAATGTTTACACAGAGTCCATAAATGTTGTCCCACTCTTGCCTAGCTGTGTGCCTCTCTGTCTCCGTCTCTGTCTCTCGCTAGCCGGCAAGTAAATGCCTCTAATTTCGGGAATAACGACAAGTTGTCTTTTGTCATGGCCCACGGATGTCTTGGGCATTGTAATTCTGGCTGTTGTTGCTGCAACCGAGACTCTGTGCCTCATCATCATTTGCAAAGGAGTTGGACTGCTGGCGGCAGGTTTGCCAGCAGCAGCTGCCGCACTTGGCATCGACTGCAACTGCAACTACATCAGCCACAGCCACAGCAACAGTTTAGCTGCGCTTTATTTGTGCAGCTTTTAGCTACGTTAAAGAATTTCCTTTTGTTTTTATTTGCCGCTTCGTAATCGAGGCTCATAGATCAACAAAACGAAGCGTGCTATTCCTTGTCTCTCTCTCTCTCTATATCTCTATCTCTCTCCCTCTCTCTCTGTCTTACTCTACAGGCATCTCTTTAATGTCTTGCTATAATTTACATAATTTAGCTAAGACGTCAATCAGAGTGCGACCCGCTGTTGACTGTGTGAACTGCCGCAATTCTCATGGCAAATGGCGCCGCATTCCAGCAAAGAGGAAAAACTCTCGACGCACAGCTGCGTCCCCGCCAGAAGTGCCACCCACGCAAGAACCCCAGCGGTCAGGCCGTGTTATGGACAAATCTGGAGCGCGATTCCAAATGGCCAACAGCTCAGCAATTGCCACAATTCCCACAGTCTTAAGCTCGCGTTTTTTTGGACTTGATTACAAGTTTTTCTTTTCTTTGCCTTTCGATCTTGCTGTATCTCGGCCCATGGGCCATTCAAATTGTGCAGCTCATTTTCGCAACTGATTAAAGGTAATTTTCTAAATTTTCATAGCACATTGTGACACTAACAACGAGCAGCCCGCATTCGGCTGGCAATTTGGCTTGTCGTCATTTAATGACTTCACTCAGAGCAGCAGCAACTTAGCTTGGCATATTTCTAAGCCTCTAGTCAGGCTCTCCCTCCAGCTGCCAGTTGGCTGAAAAACTGTGCAGTTCTTGAATTGCTGTTCACAATATGTCCGCAATCAATTCTATATCAATTCTGGTGTAAAGATGGAAGATCTTTATAAGAAAGACTTGAGGCTTATGTTGCCTATATACTGCAGGAGTTTAAGGTCTGCCATGAGAGACAGATGACTTCATTCAGACGACTGAAACTACTGCCTTGCTGGGTACTGCCTTCACAGATACAGTAATCGGATAGAAACTACATAAAATCTACTGTTTCTATTCCTATTTCATTCTTCTTGGTCGACTGCTGGCTGCTTACGTAATTGATATTCAGCTCGTAATTGGAAGTTTTTGGAAGTGATTGACTTTGAATTTATCAAATGCAAAATACAAATGTAGTAATATGAAACGTACTCTACAGGCCTTGCTGCTGTGAATGTAAATCAAATTGATACGTTCGTTTATTCGTTGTTAAAGGTGTCTCATGTATTATTGCAATTGGCTGGCAAACAGGAAATGCTGCTACCTGCACTTCCGAGATCGTCCAAGTGGAACGTGGAATTCTCTGGAGCTAGTGCTGTTGGCGGACAAGTGCAGAGTTCTCGTCATCGAAGAGCTCGTGCAGGAATTTGCTTGTATTCCGTGTGTGGCGTCTGCAACGAAATTTGCAAGAAAATTTATGCATGAATTCAGTGAAGCGTTCAGTGGACAAACCTGACGGCTTCACTTGAACCCTAGATAGTCGCTAGAGACACCCTCGTGTCAGGCACTGTTCTGTGGTTTGCAACAAGAGCAACCCTGCAGCAACTGCGGCTCCCATGGCACTGCGCTCTCTCACACATAGATGCGGGTATTTTAGTAATGCGCTGTAATTTGTTGGTCGCTTGCCAACTTGTTGACGAACTGCGCCTCATTCAGTTGGCATACTTAGTACAAAAAGGAAAAAAGTTAATTATCTTTTTTCTTCTGGTTGTTCTGTTTTGTTCTCTCTCTCTCTCTCTCTCTCTCTCTCTCTCTCTTGGCTTTTTCTTTCTTTCTTTTTTTGTAACTGCTACGCTGGGCTATTATCCATGGTTGGGGCCTAGCCATGGTACTTTGTGTTCTTTTCTCACTCCAAGCTCTGCGGCTGCTTTTTTTATCCAGTTGTTGTTGCTGCTGCCACCGTTCCATCCGCTCGCTTTAGTTGAAGTTCATTGAACTATTAATTGTAGCAATGCCGCTGTCCAACTGCGGCCAGTGTGAAAGGTGATTTTTCAAGGCTGACACGTCCGGCGCTCTGAAAGGTTCCCAAGGCCCGAAACAAACGCTGTAAAGTTCTTAAAGGTTTAGTGTTCTTTTAAGTTCTATCTTTCTATTATTTTTGCTCTCTCTTAAATTTACAATCGGTATTTATGAATTAGATTGTTGAGCCCAGGTGCTAATGAGCGTAGACAACAAAAACAATAATTCATTTCCCACAATGAAGCACGGCTTATCACGACAAAACAGCTAACCAATTTATTGCAGCTTGAGCCTGTTACCAACTGACAAAAAACTGGCCACGGTTTGTTTCATATCACGCACGTAGAAAAAAATATATAAACCCGTTTACAATTTTTTAGTTGTTTTTTACGGCTCAATTAACACAATTAGGAATACGGCGAAAAGCTTTCAGTTGTTGGACGTAATATCCCGCACCATAGATGCCACTAAGAGATCACGGGCGTGTTATAAAAACCCCGTGAATTCTTCCAGTGCCATTAACTGTGCCGAGATGCAGAACAAGCCAGCATTTCACTAACATTTACTTACCTGCCAGTACTTTCGTTTCGCTCAATTGAAAGATCTAACCGAAGTCTTTCGCAGATATGGAACCTGGGAAACGTTTAGCTACTCACCCGTTGTTGGCTGGAAACAGGACCAGCCTACAGAAGCTTTGTTAGATTTACATATCTATCCCACGTTGAGGCCGCTAACTGTTCACCTGTGCTGCTGCCTGATAAGGCGTCGCTGCTTTGATCTATCCCACGATTTAATCAAAAACGCAAATTATTTTATTTTATTTAGCCGCGCGCAGCTCGCGGAAGTTGTTGGCAGGAAAGGGGCCAAAAATGCGTGGGAAATACAAGTTCCCACCTAGGCATTGCATGTTAGTAGCTGTAGCTGTAGCTGTAGCTGTTGCTGATGCTAAAGTTGAGGCCTCTTTGGGCGCTGCGGTTGGCCTCATAATTCGCTGTGAAAATCATTTTGCGGCTTTGCCGCTGCGTGCTGCATAAAATTACAATTCAATTTGGGAAGAAAACACAATACGTATGAGATGAGATCTAAAAGAAATCAAAAAAAGTCCAATTAAAAAAGTTCACTATGCGCGACGAGCCAATTAAGTGGTGCATTTCAAGCAATTCTTGGGGAAAATGCGGCTGAGCGACGTTTCGGGCAGGCTAATTGAGTTAATGCAACCAAATTGTAACATCGACGACGAATTACAAATAACCTTTGGCCTCTGACTGCAATGTTAAACTTTAACTCTTGGGAAAAACGTAGACTCAAATTAGTCACGAAGAAAGCGGAGCGACGCGACGAGATGGCAAATTGTAATCAAGTTTGTTGCCTAAGTCTTTCATTTCGTTGCGGCCAATTTATGCAAATGTCGAAATGCCGAATGCTGCTCCACTTCATGTAATTGCCACTTCTCTTTTTTTTGGCTTTTTGTGCACGCTGCTTATCAGGCAACGGTAAATCAGTATGTCAGTCAGTCAGTTAGGTAGCTAGCCAGGCTCATTGACATGCCGGGCATGCAGCGTGAGGCGACAGCCATCAATCAAAAAGCGCTGCAATCAAATCAACAGCCGAGCAAATAAATACAAACAAAAAGAAGACGTAGACAAAAAAACAGTT